CACACACTGCTCCTCACTCTGTCAGACTCTGTGCCCATCAACGTTGGCAGAGACTTAGAAATAGACTCAGCATTGACCAACTCCCACACTCGGGGTCGGGCAGTTACAGTCCAGGAAGCAAATTGCTCTAACGAGAGTGGAAGCAAAGGACAGAAGGATCGAAGAGGATGTGGGCTCGAGCTGCAACAGGAGTTAAGAAAGCCTTTCTGGGCTCGGGGCCGGCCAACGAGGGCACAGCAGGCAGAGGGCACAGCAGGCAGGGATGTGCGGGAGGTATGAGAAGGCAGGGGGATTTGGGGAAGCACCTCCTGCAGAGTTCATCTTGACTGAAGTTGGGGTGCAAGGTGTTGGGCTGGGGGATAGTGTAAGGGGTGGGAGGTCAGGGAGAAGAGGTGGAGCGGGAGAGCTGGGGGTCAGGCCTTGAATGTCAGGCGAGGAGAGGGTTCCTCTCAGGAGCACCCCTGGGGACCCACAGAGCAGTGTAAGCAGAGGGGTGAGGAGCCATTTGTTTTAAAAGATCATCCCGGAAGCCAGTATAGAAGATCGTAGCAGGGGCCAGGGCATGAGTGCAGCGGGCATTGTGATGGCCCGGGTGAGAGGTAATGAGTGTGAACTTTGACCTTGCAACTCAGCAGAGGCTCAGGGCTGGGGACACTCTGAGCAGGGAGGCAGCATATGGGTCAGCCCTGCTCCACGGGCCGAGTTACCAGGCTGGGCTAGAGCCTGGTTGGGGGTCAGCTGCTCCCATCCCTGCTCCGTGGAGGCTGCCAGCACGTTTGGGAGTATCAGGAGGGGCATTCCCAGTGTCTTCTCCCCCAGGCCCATCTGTCTGAACTCCTCCAGCGGCACCCAGCCCTCCCCTTAGAGGAGGAAGACGCCCCTGTTTCAGGTGTTTGGTGGAAGCCTTCTGATCTTAGCCACAAGGTCCGTTCTCCTGCTCTTGGGTTGCTGGGTTTGTTGGAAGGGCCTGGGAAGAGGGAACATAAAATCGCTCAGGGAGCCATTGGAGCAGGTGATGTGGCTCCCACGTGCGGGCCTGTGTGGTTGGGACAGGCAGATGAGCCGGGCTGAGCCTGGGGCAGGCGACCAGGGCCCTGCCCCCAGTTCCCAGCCCTTTCTGTGTAGCTGAACTGGCAGCTTCCGCCTATGAAGAAAGCTCCAGCTGAGGCAGGGCTGTGGGGCCCAGGGCCCTGGAAAGCTGCAGGCCAGTGGGGTCTCATTTAGCCAGCTGCACATTTGATTAATCACCCTCGTCCTGGGAGCCTGCTAATCTGGAAGCTGGCTTTGTCGCTGACTCCTCTGCTCACTCGCTGGCAGCTGAAGGGAGCTGGAGCCTGGGCTGGGGCTGGGCCTTGGGCTGGGACTGGGGCAGAGGCTGGGACTGGGGCAGGGGCAGAGGCTGGGGCTGGGTCTGGGGCAGGGGCAGGGT